GTTGCGTGTGTGATCACAAAGCAAATGCATCTAACAGCCGCTCTAAAACAAAAGGTGCATTCACCCTCCAAGCAAAACAAAAAACCGCTGAGTCGTGTGAGAGGCTTACCAAAGGCGAAAGGGGTTCCCTCCCTGCGGAAAGCTGAATACATCCGTCCCACATGATCCCAAACCATAGCATATAACATACAACTAAGTAAGAGGCCTTCTGGCATGCAAGCAAAATATGCTTGACAGTCCAGAGTTCACAGCTGTTCCACAAACATTTCACAACAACAAAGCGCATACATCTCAAGCCCGTTCTTTTCAGAAACTTTCCTGGCACCCAAGAGAAAAAAACAGCTGACAAGCCTCTGAGGGCAGTGTCGTGTGAGACGCTTTCCAAAGGGCCCTCCCTATGAGAAACCCAAACATGGCCGTAGCCCCGTATCTTGTGGCCTTGCGTTTCGATTTGCACGGCAACATGGAAACAGAACAAGGCAACCGGCCGTCAGCCTGCCTCAGTGCGTCCTCTCGCCGCGCTCAAGCTGCAGCCTTCTCCTGGATTCACGATGCAAAAGTCTGGATGATCAGAGCAAACATCACTGTTAACTTCTGCCCTCATACATCCCGCGTAAATTTGCTTGTGGACTTCACTGTTGGTCAATCTGGATACTAGCTGTAGCCTCTTGAGCATACAACTGGGGATCATCCACATCCGTCCCACATGATCCCAAACCATAGCATATCTCTTAAAAGTAAGCAGCCTTCTGGCATTGCAAGCAAAAGATGCTTGACAGTCCAGAGTCCACAGCTGTTCCACAAACATTTCACAACAACAAAGCGCATACATCACAAGCCCGTTCTTTTCAAAGACTTTCCTGGCACCCAAGAGAAAAAAACAGCTGACAAGCCTCTGAGGGCAGTGTCGTGTGAGACGCTTTCCAAAGGGCCCTCCCTATGAGAAACCCAAACGTGGCCGTAGCCCCGTATCTTGTGGCCTTGCGTTTCGATTTGCACGGCAACATGGAAACAGAACAAGGCAACCGGCCGTCAGCCTGCCTGAGTGCGTCCTCTCGCCGCGCTCAAGCTGCGGCCTTCTCCTGGATGCACGATGCAATAGTCTGGAAGATCAGAGCAAGCATCACTGTTAACTTCTGCCCTCATACATCCGGCGCAAGTCTTGCTTGTGGACTTCACTGTTGGTCAATCTGGATACTAGCTGTAGCCTCTTGAGCATACAACTGGGGATCATCCACATCCGTCCCACATGATCCCAAACCATAGCATATCTCTTAAAAGTAAGCAGCCTTCTGGCATTGCAAGCAAAAGATGCTTGACAGTCCAGAGTCCACAGCTGTTCCACAAACATTTCACAACAACAAAGCGCATACATCTCAAGCCCGTTCTTTTCAAAGACTTTGCTGGCACCCAAGAGAAAAAACAGCTGACAAGCCTCTGAGGGCAGTGTCGTGTGAGACGCTTTCCAAAGGGCCCTCCCTATGAGAAACCCAAACGTGGCCGTAGCCCCGTATCTTGTGGCCTTGCGTTTCGATTTGCACGGCAACATGGAAACAGAACAAGGCAACCGGCCGTCAGCCTGCCTGAGTGCGTCCTCTCGCCGCGCTCAAGCTGCGGCCTTCTCCTGGATGCACGATGCAATAGTCTGGAAGATCAGAGCAAGCATCACTGTTAACTTCTGCCCTCATACATCCAGCGCAAGTCTTGCTTGTGGACTTCACTGTTGGTCAATCTGGATACTAGCTGTAGCCTCTTGAGCATACAACTGGGGATCATCCACATCTGTCCCACATGATCCCAAATGAAAAATAGTTTCTTAGGGATGTAGAAATGTAATTATTAACCGGCCGGAAAAGGGTGCGACGCAGAAACGGGTGCGACACACAGCACAATCAATAACATGGAACCCAAAAAAGGGGTCTTCAAAAATAATCTCAAAAATGAAGGTTTTGGGGTTCCATGTTTGGTGAAAGGGGAGCCTACCTTCTTTGGGGTACTTTTCGTGGGGGGGTGGTAGTGATTGGACTCCCCTCCCATTTGGGGATTCCCTCAATTTAAGACACACCCATGTGTCTCCCCCCAAGACGAGACTCCTCTGTGGTCTTTGTGTTGGGTTTCGCGTTGCTAAGGACCTTAAGGAGAGTAGCACCACCAAAAGAAGGAGCAGCGGTCAACCGCACTTTGCCTTTCCCATCGGAACGCGCGCCCTCCGACTAAGGACGCTCATTTGGTTGAAGCGATGGACAGCGAGCATTTCGCAGCGCCGTCTAGCTGACCTCAAGATGTTACAGCCTTGTCCGGCGCGAGAAGTGGAATGACACGCTGTGGGAATCCAACAAGCTGAAGAGGTGACACACTTTTGGAATCCAACAAGCTGAAGAGGTGACTCGCTGTGGGAATCCATCAAGCTGAAGAGGGGGTTTGCCGGACCCTCAAGTGGACATGAACCATTCGCGCGGGTGTTCCCCATTCAAATTCATCATGGCAATCCAATAGGCTCAACAGGGGTTGACTTCGAACGACCCTGGCACAATAGAAACCTGGTAGATTGAGGGACCCTTTTTCAGGTTGGTTGAAAAGGACGCCAAAAGGAAAACCTACTCTACCCTTCTTTTGGAGGCCCCCTTTGACACAAACCAATTTCCGGCCTTTTGGGCATTGTTTTGAGGCTCCAAGCAACCCTTCTAAAGATGTCTCAAATGTGAAACGTCTTCCCCCAAATTGGACAATTTGTGGCAATGCGTCTTTCCCATATCCGCTTGAGCGCAGACGTCCATGTCTATGGATTTGAGTTGATTGGGATATAATGTTCCTGGCAATGTCATGATCCGAGCAAGGCCACGCATGAAATATCACTTGAGTCACAATCAAAACCCGGTATCACAATGGTTGACCCAGAACCACGTAAGGAAATACAGAGGCGGATATCCGCTGCCTGGGATTGTCCCTTACTAACCTTCATCTACCCGAATCGGTTTTGAGCACGTGGCAAACACTTCTACTTCGTGGTGCTTCGCGTTTCCCCAGCATGTAAGCTGTATCCTGCCATCTGCTTACGTCCCCTGGAAAGAAAAGAACATGTCTCCAGTGATAGATTCCAACAGGGGAATTAAAACACATGCTTGGGCAAACGGAAGTATCCTACCTCATTGGTTGGTCTTTGACCCCCTGCAAAACGTGACTTTGGTTTGCTGGCAGAGCGACCAGCTTCCATCCAGAAAATGCATGGTCCACACCTAACGTCACTTCAATATAAGCGCCTGAACAATCCCAAACATCAGTGACCCAGAATCACAACCAGCACTCCCCAAAGCACTGCTTTTTGGACAGTACCAAGGGCATTTTGGACATGGGGTTCCCCCAATTCCATTTATCTTTTAAGGGAACCATGGGTTGCCACAAATGGAGATCTCCAGGAGTCGAAATCTCCCCTCCTCCAATTCCATTTATAGGCGGGTGGGGATCTTTAGCCCCTCATTCTGGCATACGCGCTCGGAAATTCGGACTGGCTGGATTTAGGTCGGCTTCCAAATCGACTGGCAATGGAAAACCACGAGAAGTCTGCTTGCACGGGCGTCGGCCATAGACTTTCTTGCGCCCATGCAAAACGGCGCAAACCTTTTTGCCGTCGATCCAGTGCCCCTAGAGGACCAAAGATATGGGTGTGTCTGTTGAGGGTACCCCTTTTGGAGTGGCATTACAGGGAGCCCAAAGGAAACTAACCATCTTTTGGGTGGCCTTTTTTTTGACGCACACCCAGATGGGTGCACAAAAGGTAACCAGACTACTTAGGAGGATAGGGGTACCCAGACAAAAGCAATGCCGTGACAATGAGGGCCTCGAACCCGCAAGCAGACACGCCAAGGCAGTCGTAGAAATTTCGGCGGATTGTACTGGTACGCGTTCTTCACGCTTTGCGAGGGCGGAGCTTGGCTCGCTCGAGCTGCGTGTGTCTCAAATTCTAGGGGTGGATTATGTTCAACCTTCGTTCTTTCCCCACTCCGGCCGTTTTCCCTGGGTTTCCGGAGATTCTCTTCAAAGAAGGATCCCTGGAAAGAATGGGCAAGGTACCAATAGAAAAATGGGGGGGGGGGGTACACAATGAGGAAGCCACTGCACCGTTCCTCTGCATGTCAAACACGAGGTCTGTTCAAACAAACATGCTCAACAAAAACACAAGGTGTGGTAGTATGGCCCCGTTTATTCAGTTGGGACCAGGGCCCGTTGTAAGACTTGACCCATCTATGATACACAGAACATGTTCCGTTCAGATTATGTTTCATGGTTCGTCTGCTGGACAATAGAACATATGCCTGGCCACTGCAGAAGTGGAGTTGGTTTATCGGCCATTCTGCTGCAATAGATCATTCGTCCTTGCTGCAGGTCAGAAGAACGTTGGGACGTCACAAGTTCCTAGATTTCACCCAGACCAGACAGCGGAGAAGTATGGCATGTGATTGCCATGTGGGGTGAAGCCCTTTGTCATATATACACACATTAGATATGATTTGTTTACCCTTGATTGACCCATGCACGTGTGATTTAATGGGTAAATGTGCACCGCTTTTGTGGCGAAACCTTTAATCAGTTGACGCTAGGAATGAATGAGGCTAATATATGTTTGAACATGTGTACACGTGTACACACAAATGCATATTGATATCATATCAAACCTGCACGTGGATATGACATGTAGATATGCATGTATACATATTTACACTACACATATAACCTATGTAAATATAATGTGCAGCATGTGCTACAGTCATATGGCACATTTGGAAACACATGTATGATGCAAATGAGATGCACGGATCAATGCACCCTCCTTGTCAGAGGGGTGCTACCTCAAAACAAAACTGAGGCTTTCCAGAGGTATGAGTTCAAAGGTTGATTAGTTCCCGGTTTCAGCGCGTCCGCTGGTTTCAAACAATCTTCCGTGGAGCTTCAATAAGCCTCTATCTTACTACTCAAATCCCAACTGAAAAACTTGAGTCATTGGGCTTGCGACTCTTGAGACTATTTGTCTGCCAAGTGCTCACGCCATCCCTCCCTCTCCCTTCACACTCAAGCAGCCGGACCGCGAGGCCTCGCAAGTTGCAGTGAGGACGTGAGGAAATTTGAGGTGATCCTTGTCCCCTGCCTTGCAAAAAGGGTTGTATCACGTCGACATCTCATGCACCAGCATCATCAGCCATCATGACATGAAAGAGTTGCCTTCCACACACACACACACCCAACTTCACTGCTCAATCCACGCAGAGCTAGAATAGCTCGGAAGTAAACGTCACTCGCTGTGCCAATGAGCAAGACAACTCCCATCCCAGCACCCTCCAACAGCTTTCTCCACTATGCAACCAACATCCCCTTGGTACAGCAACCAAAAAGCCGTGGTTGGGGTGCCGGAGCGGTCAGGATTCCGTTCTTCAAACAAAACAGAGCAATCCAGCAGATCCCAGGCAAGCCCTTATAGTAATCTCCTCCCCCAATTAATGAACGACCCCCATTAATAATAAATGCAAATCCGGGGCCCGAGACCAGACTTCCACTCCGCACAATTGATTTTTAATTGAGCCAATACTAAACCCTTACTAAAGTCTTGGAATCCTTATTAGGGGGCACTTTTAACAAGCTTCCAGCCCCACTTTTAAAAAGGTGGGTTCCTCAAAAGATGAATTCCTTAGAAGGTTGCTTCCCCAAAAGCTGGCTGCAAACAAACAACCAGTAAACTGGTAAACATATAGAATGATACATCAAATTTCCTTATTAAACCGCTTACTCGCGGACCTTACAATTCAATCCATTTCCTCCAAATCCTATGCGAACCCTCACACTGTTGGAAAAGCAAAAAAAAAAAAACAACCCCAAAAACCCCAATTAAAAAATATATATAAATATATATATATACATATATATATATATATTTGGGTGGATTTATTTATAATAGGGGGGGGGGGCGTATTTATTAATAGGGGGAAGAGATTAGGCAAGACTTCGCTATGTTCCTTTTGCTTTCTATATCGGGTGGCAAGCCCATGGAAATCTATACTGGTAAATGGAAAAACTGGGCAAGATAGATGCAAATACGTTGATCATCGATCCGAATCCAACGATCCAGGCTTGAGATCCCAATTTTTGGGGAAGGGCTGGGGGTCTCGGGCCCAATTCCATGCTTTCCAGTCTTCCCCAAAAAACAACGGAACCATTGGAATCCCAAACGGTCGTCAGAAAACCCATCACCCGTGGGAGGGCTTGAGGCGTTGGGCCCGGTCTGGGCATTCCAACAAGCGGAGAGCAAGAGCGGAGCAAGGTAAACAGGGGTCACTGGATTTCCCCAAATCAAAACTGTATCAACTTACTGGCGGTCACTGAAACGAGCGCCGCATTTGGAGCTTCCAAAAAGGGAAATGGAGGACAATCTGGGAAACACCCAGCAAAATCATGGTCACAGCAAACGACAGCCTAAACTCGCTTTGGGGTGCCAAAAAAAGGTGTTCCTTGTGGCTTCCCTTTCAACCAAGCCCGAATAGGGTACCATCAACAAAGCCAATGTCAACTTGAATCTGGGGATTCGCAAGACTGCCTCGCGCTCGAGCCGTTGTGCGTTTCGAGCCTGGGTTTACTTGGGAGAGACGTGCAGAGCGTCCCCGGTGGACTTGTAGATGCCGTTCACCTCAGGATCAACTCATCGCCAACAAAACCTCTGCCTGGAGTTTCCCTGACCCTTAAAACATGGTTGGTCATTACCCAAAATAATGGTTGGTCATTGACCCATTTTTGATTTGGGTCAGATCCGGAGACTCCAGGTGCATTTTTTTTGGCACTCAGCCCTAGAGTACGGCGGGTTCCTGTAGCTTGCCTTCCAGCCTTCCAAAAGAGTAATGCTAACCACGGATGAAGCAGAACCCCTGGTTGATTTTGATTGGGGGGGTGTCCCATTCCTTTTAGTGGTTGGATTCAGATCACTTTTGGAGGGGTTTCCACCCCCTAAGAATGGGACGGGTTTATTAATTCTGGGTCAACATTACCCTCAAAAGCCACACGCACGCACTCACACACACACACACACACACCCATTGGAACCTAACACCAACACGGCACGGCACGGCCAGGACTTGCAGAGCCGAGTCGCAATGTCCGGTGTCACCTGGCACGTACGCCAGGTAGACCACCCCGTGGGACCATAGGTGTCCTTTTAGGTTGGAAATAGATGGGTTTCCCTGGTAGATGAGAAACAAAAAAAACACCAGGTACGCCAAAAATATCGACCTCTACTTCTCGCTCCCAAAACAACCAAAAAGGACACCTGTGCCTGCATGTCTGCTCGGTGTTCCCAAAGCCCCCCACCAGCCGTTCCTAAAGTCCGGATCCCTGGGTGAATATGGAGCAGAAAAAACGGAACCCTCTGAATACTTGGACCTTCTGGAGCCAACCCCCAACTGAGCCGCAATCAATACCGATCGGTAAAATGGTCGAAATGGACGACCCATGCTTCAAGAATGAAAACTCGGCGGTGAAGGCACCCATTTGGGATACTCCCCTAATCTTCAGCTTCACGGCCGAACGGTTTTTTCAATGTCCGAAATACTGTGGATGGTTGCGAAATCCATTTCGAACCACCTGAGAACCCCGGTGTCTGATTCCCTTGCAAATACCAACAGCGCTATGGTTTCAACCATGGTTTTGCAAAGTGGTGCGAAATGGATTTTGTCCATCCACAGTCCAAAACACGAAGTACTGTCCAACAAGCAGTGGTTTGGAGGTGTGGGCAGTGGACTCCTTTTGTCAGCCTCAATACCGTAATGTTGACCCTCGGTTTTAGTAGGGGTGTTCCCCTCCAAGAGTGGTAACATCCCCTAGTCAAAGTAGAACCCTTTTCATCAACTAGGGGGTTTAATTACCCCTTTTTTGGTTGAAGCAGAAAATCGGGTAGTCCGGATCCCTCTGAAATGGGCCTCTTGCATTATTCCTGGGTCGACACAAGCGAGACATCGAAACGAAGAACGATTTAACAGGACATGGGAAGATTAGGGCTCCTCCCCTGCCCAGTGGATCCAGTTAATTACCTGGTTTTGTACTTTGCTTAAGGGAACCACGCGATATCGGGACCCGTTTCCAACCATGTTCTTCTTCGAGCGGGGCATCGAATATTCCCCACGAAACCAGCCCAGTGGATCCCAGGGCCCATATAGTGTTCTAGTAGGTAACCAGCTACCTGCCTTTTGGATGGTATATCGTTCTTCAAAAGATTCCAAATACTGTGGATGGACAAGATTCTGCGCCACTGTGAAACTATGGGTGAAACCATCTGTTTGTTGGTATTTACGAACCAGAGTTTTTAGGTGGTGCGAAATGGATTACGTCCATCCACAGTATCACCCCAAAGGAGAACAACCCACGCACAATGGACCCAAGAGGTATCGCAGGAATTCGGCCGTGAGAAGATCTGAGGGGGAAATCCAACAGGACAGCAAGACGCAAAGCCGGAAAGCGAAATGACCGCTGGCCCTCACAGGGGCTTGGAGATTCACGTATGAGTTTTAGGGAACCACCTCACAAGTGGGGGGACATGAATCCCAACCGGTTGATGTCCACCAAAGGGTTACTTGGACGGTCAACGAAGAGTAGCTTGGACACCCACTTGGCCTGGGAGGAATCGCTAAGTGGATGGTAACAGTGGTTGCAACCCACCAAAGCCATGGTTTTAAGTCCCCTGCGACGGTTATGAACCATGTAGCGTCCCAAACCACACCCAAAAAACCGCCTGCCTTTGACCCACAACAAAGGGGTCCCAAGGGGTCCATGGGAAATCCAGGTAGCTACCAAAGGAAGTCCGCCGACCCCTGCTGTTCGCCTCACACCGAGGAGGGGACCGGCGTGGCAGGGCATAAAAAACGATTGAACTATGCGCCATAGGGGAAACTCTTCATTTTCCTAACATCGCGATTCCCAGGACATTGGTAAATACAAGTCAGGGGACCATCCGGACCATGCCGACCATCCCAACCGCCCCATTGGGGTCAGCAGCAGTCGGGCGTCAGCCTGGTAAATACAAGTCGTGCACAGTGAAAATGAGTCGTGCGGCGGCGGCTCACGTGTTCCGCCTTCTTCATGTCGCCGGCAGCGACATCCGGAGACCAGCTGGGGATCATCACCTTTCGCCCATTTGATTCGGTGAGGTCCTAGCCTTCTCTTGGTACTTGGCTTGTAGTTGTGCAAGCGGCTTTAACTGTGAGGAAAACAAGGGGCGCCCTCCTTCTGTGGTATAATGGTTTTAAAGGGACCAAAAGGGGTCTTTCATTTTTGGTAGATGGTTGTAAGGGGAAGCCTCCGTAACACAAGGAAACACGGGCACCAACTTACTATCCGGGCCTTGCAAAAATGAGAAGTCCTTGGTGTGGGAGACCAGCTAATGAGGCCTTCTGGTGGAAGAGTGGATGCGTACTTTTGGGCCGTACCATAAGGACCAAAAGTTTCAAACGCGTTTCGCACTGATACAGTCCCGATGTTTTAGAATGCGGTTATAAGTCATGATCAAAGGAGGAACATACCTTTTCTAGTGCACCTGGAGTCCCCATGACCCTCAAAACGTGCGGTCAAACCCCTGCATTTGGGGTAATGACCAACCAGTTTTTAAGGGTCAGACCGACACCCGGAGACTCCAGGTAGTTCTTGAAAGTAACCGCCAAGGGAGATACTGCGGATTGCCAAAATCCTCACCAGATTGAAACCATGCCAAGCCCTTGTTTATTGGTATTTACACAGGAATCGAATCATTCCAGAATTTCTTGGGCGGTGCGACATGGATTTCGATTTCAACCATCCACAGGAGGCAGGCAATACCAGCAATGCACCACGGTTGTCTGCTCTGGGTTTCAAGAAGGCCGGTCAGGCCGACATCTTGGTGTCGTACCACCTGCTTCACCCACCATGACTTGTGATGCTACCGAGCGACTTGCTTTGAGTTATGTGGCAATCCCAGTGCTTCCAGGCGCGAGAGGCCACTAGAGTAGCCAGGGGAAACCATGGCAAAACCTAGAGGTAGCGATTTATACCGAAGGGATACCGGTAATTGTCGTGACTGGAAGCACTGGCAATTATAATCATTATCAAAAGAGGTAGTAAACAATGATTATAATCACTGGAACATGTTCAAACATAGCCAATATTGAGCGATAGTAGAAACCCACCTCAATCGGACGATGGGAATTAGCTTTGGGTGCTGGGGGAGTTGAACGTCTGAACTTGTTGCGTCCTTCGAAGTTCACCCACCATGTTTAGGTCCAGAACGAAAGTTTGTACAGACTTGCACTATCCCTACGGTTGCTCCCACTGGGGAGAAACTTTGAACCAGAGGCATCGAAGAAGCCATGGTTCTATGAGCTTTGGTTGCTTCAAGGCTCAAGGATCCTCTTCGCAACAAAACTTCCCCGAGGGATTAGGCGCTCCACTGTCCATCCCAAAAAGAAACAAGGGGGGTCCTCGTTCGTCAACACAACGTCAGCTTCGGATTCATTTGGAGGACAGTGCCAGCCACAGATGGTTTCCCCTTGTAGCAGCATGGACCCCAGGCCGCAGGCCGCCCCTCCAAAGAAGACCCCGGACCCATTGCTGGGCCCGGAAAGGAAACGACGCATTTGAACGGCCTCAAACAATTCCATCAGGAGCCCTAGGTTCAGGAGGACTTCATTTTCCCCTACCCAATCGATTTGAGGACCGCCCATCATTTTTTTTTCTGGGGCGTTCCCCCAGAATATTTTTCTGCGAGCGAGCGCCTTGAGCTTCGGCGCCCACTTGGTCTTGAAGTCCGGCTTGTCCCCGAAGCACTTCTCGATCACCGCCAGGGCTGGGATCGATCTTTTTTCTTCGCTCGCTCGGTCGCTTGCACATCGAGCGGTTGATCATCGAGCGAAGCCGAGGGCGAAAAGCAAAGCCGAGAGTCTAGTGGTTGATTCCCCATTCTTTTCAACCATCGTTCTTTTCAAAAACCAGCTGTTTCCCAGGGTTTTGGGTGGCTTTGTAGAAAGAAGGATGCCTGGAAAGAATGGGAAAGGTACCCCTAGAGAGAGGGCAAGCCAGTCAGCGGCTTGCAAAGAGAAGTCCCCGGATGGGATAAGATAAGGTGTTGGGGCGCTTGAATTTCCGTGCGGCAGCTTGAGAGATATTGGGCCGGGGGGATTATATAAGAGTGCGGGCCAGAACTGCTCAGTGTCAAAATGGAGTTCGGGCTACACCTCTGACCATCAACAGTGAATGATGACATGCGTATGAACTAGCACAGCTCAAAGAACGGTTCTTCAGAAAGAGGCAACTAAAATTATTGATTGGCCTCCGCACGAGCCAGACTCTCTTTGATATGTTTGGCATTTGTGATTCTAATCCCGTACAAACACTTCGAGATGTTTCTCAACTCCAACATTGACATGCACCAATGGCACGGTTTCAAGAAAAGGACACCAGCATCTAACACCTAAGGGCTGCGTTTGCCTGGCTAAACCCTTCGAGTCGGACACTCGGGGTGGACGTGTTCTCTGAAGCAGTCGCCCTTGGGGGGCTGTTGTGGGGAATGGCGGGGGGAAACTGGAAATGGTCCTAGGCCGAATGTCTTCTAGGTCCTCTAGTAGACAGGTTAGGATAAGGGTACCCAATTTTTGCTGTAGTCTATTTTAGTAGGGGAACCCTCCCAACCAAAAAAGGGGTAAGAAAGGGCACTACTGAGAAAACCTCGTCTGAAATCACATTGCTGGATGTTGACCGCAACTGAGCCGAAATCTGGTCAGCTGCCCTCTAGTTGGTGGTTTGGATGGGTTTCCCATTCGAGCAAAGCCAGAAATTCAAATCCCAAACCACCAATCTGAACCAACGAAGCGACTCGGGGCTACCTGATCCGCACGAAAAATCAGATGCTCTGACTCTGTTCCGAATTTAGTACGCCCCAAAATGTAGCATGTTCGGGGAGGCGACCATAAGTTCTTGGAGAAGACCCTAAATATCTTGAGGAGACCCCAAAGCTGATGTTGAAACCCGCTTATGCCGATGTTCACCCATCCGATTTTTGGTATCCTCTCGGGTTAGGAAAAACGCAAGCGCGTCTAAGAAACAGAGGACTCGAGGACAACCAATATGGCTTTGGTTGTTTAATGTGGTTTCCTGATGAAAGCAACCCAGACCATCTAGGTGGCGACTCATGTTGACCCCCTGTGTGGCTGTGAAGAGAACCTGCTGGGCCATTCCCTCGATGCACCAAAACTGTTGCAGTTTTGCCCAGTGCTGTCTTACACTCAAAACCCGGTATTCAAATGGGGCTTACCCAAGCCAATTTTAAAGGCGGATATCCGAACCCAATTCTGGCTGGGATTGTCCCTTACCCTCCAATTGCCCGGGTGTTGATTGTGACTCAAGTACGTATCCTGCAAAGGACAACAAGTTCTCTCGAACCAAACAAGACGAACAAAACCCTACCTGGAGTCTCCATGACCCTTTAAAAATGGGTCAATGACCAACCATTATTTTAGGTAATGACCAACCATTTTTTAAGGGTCATGGGGTACCAAGGGAGCCTCTAGAATAGGGGGGTCCTGGCTTCGGCGAGTTTCTGGAGGCCGGGCCCTGCCCGGTTTGGTTTGGACGAGGGGGTCTTGAAGGATCAGGGCTGCAAATCCAAATCCAAACCAATCCAAGGCACAGGGTAAGACCTGGCAAGAAACCGGAAGCGATGGCTTGGACCCCCATTGCACCCACCTCATCTGCATTTGCCAGGCCCCCCGCCCTAAATAGTAGGGTTGTTCGCTCGGTTTAACAGAGGGTTCCTTGCCCCCCTCGAAAGCATGGCCACCCAATTTGGATGACAAAGCTCCTGAACGCTGAAGAATGGTTCTACTTCCCCCGCCCCCATTTGTGGTTGGCTAAACCTCCAGTTCCGTGCATCGACCCGACAAAAAACTGAGCGTCACATGTCCAGTGATAGATTCGTCCTTTGAATCCAACCGGGGGAACAAACGGGACATCTTCTAGCAAAGTGGAAGCCCTGGACCAAGGGAAAGCCAAAAAGTGCCCCCCTCCAACCACCAATCAGGGAAGCTGGCCACGTCGGAAGGCATCCCCCTGTCCATTTCCATGATTGGCAAGAAGGAAGGTCGGATGTTAACAGAGCAACCCCCCCTGAGGATCAAGCCATTGCAACACAGGCTTAAAGGCTGGGTAAATATAGTCATCATGATGTACCGTTCAGGAGTTCATCATCCAAATTGGGTCCTTGCCAGTAATTGAAGGGTGGTTGAACCCTAAAGATGATCACCCAATCGTAAGCAACTGCTACATTTGGGTATGTGTCAACGTAGCGGCGCTGGTAGTCTTGACCCCATATTAATCAACCCCAGTTTATTAATAGGGGGTGTCCCTGGGTTTAGTGGGAATCAGGCCACTTTTGGAGGGGCCCCCACCCACTATAAACAGGGGTTGATTTTTGTAGAGTCAACATATGCGGCCAAAGATCGTCACCAACTCGTAAGCAACTGCTTCCTACATTTGGGTATTTGTCAAAATAGCGGCGCCGGTCTTTGCTTTCTGTTTCACAAAGACCTGAAATGGGTATGGCTAAAAATTACAGAGCCACGGTTGCGCAGGTGTTAGTCTTTGTTTCCATTTGCCTTTGGGTGCCATTTTGGTACACTCCCTCAGACTAACATGGAGGCTCCCCCAATTGGCCGATCCCGTACATGGAACCAAGTCTTCCATTTCGGGGTCCGTTCGGGAGCTTCCATGTTAGTCTGGGGGAGGGTACCACTTTCTTGAGCCACAGCCAAATGGCCATGGGTCAAAACCCCGTACCCCCAGTGAACATCCCAATCCAACCACTAAAATAGGTTCCAATCTGAGTGGTGAATTCACCTATCCCAAAATGGGATCCCATTGGTTTCGAGCCACCAGTCTGGGGGAGGGTACCACTTTTTTCGAGCCACCTGGAGTCTCCGTGTCCCTAAAAAATGTTGGTCATTACTAATGGTTGGTCATCGACCCATGTTTATTTCGGGAGGAGACTCCAGGCATCTCCAGACTATACAGGTAAACGGTACCACTTTTTCGAGCCAGGTTGTAGTTCATGCTTCCATTTGCCTTTGGGTTCCATTTAGGGTATATACCTATTTTTGACCCACACCCATATGCTTCCATTTTGGGTCCCTTGATACCCCATAGAAAACAATGTTGAGTTTAGTTCAATGAAAGCTTCACCTCCGCAAACATCAGAGGTACCTTTTCGGACCCTATGTGTTACTCAGTTACTCCCAGAGCCCCATTTTGGTGCCACGTTTTTCGTTGTTGTGTTTTTTCAGAGGGTCCCTTGGCACCACGTTTTTGAGCCACCGCCCCAAGGCGTCCCCTCCGAAGGACCGAGGCGCCGATGGAGACGCAGGTGGAGGCGCCCGGCGAGGCGCCCAGCAGGCCGCAGATGCTGCCGTTGGCGCCGGTGACCACCTGCGACAGAGGATTCCATAGGTTTTACCTCCTGAGTCCTCCATGTTAGAGAGTTGGAATGGGCGGGGGGGGGGGGTGAAACTGGAAATGGTCCTGTCTTCTAGATCCTCCAGATTTGAGAGGTTAGAACAAGTTGGTACCCGACTTTTTTCGGTTTTGTTGATTTTTGGTAGGGTTGAACCCTGCCCAAAAACTTTAAAAATGGGTCAATGACCCCATTATTTTAGGTAATGACCCCATGTTTTAGGGGTCATAGAGACTCTAGGGAGAAGGGCACGATCCTGGGGGACAACTAGTAGAGCCTCTAGCCCGGATCCATGCGTGTTTTTCGTATTTTTTGGTCGCCCTCCCCCCCAAAAAAAGCACATGTGAGTCCCAATCAAAACCCGGTATTAAAATGGTCTACCCAGAACCATGTAAAGAATTAGGAAGGCGGCCGCAACTATTTCTGGCTGGGACTGCCCCTTACTAACCTTCATCTACCCGGGTTTTGATTGTGGCTCATGTGGGTGTTTGTGTGTTTTGCTGTGGGCGGTGTTCCTTTATGGTGTTCCTTTTGGTTTCCCTTTAAGACAACAAAGAACAGGGGGTACCTCGAATACTTTTTTTTAAAGATCCATTTACCTGTATAGTCTGGCAACCAAGGAAACCACCCGATTCGAAACCAAAAGGACAAAATAGCTGGTTAGGCAGGATATGGGTAACTGGGATTTGGTGATTTAGGGTCCCTTGGTAATGTTGACCCCAGAATAACAACCAGTGGTTGATTTTCATCAGAAAGTGTCCCGTTTTTGTGGAGATTCATCACTTTTGGAGGGAACGCCCAAAAATGATAGGACGGGTCGATTAGTCCGGGATCAGCATTATCTTGCTCCTCAAACTACCCAGAAAAATGGGTTGCGACCCAAAATTATGAACATTGAGTTCACGTCAGGTAGATTTCAATCTGCAATAGGCAATAAATCGCAAATCGGGATTGTTCCACCAAGTGTTCCAGTTCTATTCTCAAAGTACGCTTCACTGAAGAGGGGGGGGTGGGGGGTGGGGGGAATGGTTTTCTAGATATGTGTGTGTGTGTGTGCCAAAAGAAGGGGACCCGAAATTTGTGGTTTTTGCGGCTTCGCAAACCAGGAAAGGGCACCCCTCAAACTCAACTGCTGTGTGGATTCGTTTTTCCTTTTGGCTTCCCTATTCAAAGTAGCCAAACGGGTCATGCTCTTCCAGCAATTTGAGTATGTCAGAATATGGGGGGGCGCCCAAAAATGCTGTGTGTGTGTGTATATACTTTTCTTTTTTTGTTTGTCCGTTGGTCTCGCTTTACAGAGTTCACACAATTATTCCAAGTGGGTACCCGGACAACAGCACGTGTATTGTGAGTTGTTGCCCAGCTTGCACTGTACTTCCTACTCTTCGGTTCTAATGCTGACTCCGCTGTGGGCCCTAGCCATCTGTGTGACCTGTTCGGGCCATCTGTGGCATGGAACAACATGCTATTGCAGCTTCCCTCCAATTGGTGGTTGGTGATTTGGAGGTTCGGGGTGGTTTCCAAAAATTCCCTGCAGGAACCAGGGGTGCAAATCCCCAAACCAACAGTATCCACCAATCCAAACCACCTTTTGCAGGGATACCTATCTGATCGTTTGCTGGACTCTCGACAAGACCAGGTGGTCGGCAAAGACTGCGCTCAAATCGAAGAAGAAGAAGCTGCAACAAGCGATGCTGCCGTCGACACACCCGGCACATGTCAACGACGGGATCAAGACCAAAGCTCATTGCCACCCTTCATTGGTGGCGATTTCTCCGCTCGTTTCGGCACAACCTTAATGGAGTTCACACCAATCCCTAGGAGCCCAAGGCCTTTGGGGGGCCGAGGCCCGCTTTGAGCGGCTCCGGGGCACAGAAGGTACACCGAACTCAATGACAACAAGAAACACTCAAGTAACTCAAAGGGGCGATCGCTGCGGTACGTCAGGGAAGTGGGCAATAACCATGGTTCTAACCCACTTACCGGGGTCATAAGTCTCCGTTCAGTGGGTTATAATCAGGCTTGCTAATCACTTCCTGAGTACCCGATCGCCCCTCGAAGTAGCTTGCCCTCTCGCCCCTTTTGCGCCAGGATTGGATCTGTGAGTCACCAGACCGAGCGAAAGCACCAATTAAGGTCTGTGGAGACATACAGCCTTAAAACAAAATGCTCATATAGCATCGGTTCGTTGCACACGCGGGCGACGAAGTCGTGGTGGCACCGCAATCAATCTGATAAGTTCTTCAATTCGCAGAGATTTCTACAGCTTGGCCATCCCTGGCTCGGCGTCTATGCGGTAAATCCTCTTGGCATTTGCTTCGAACAGCTTCCTCCTGACGTCCGCAGGGTACCTTGGTCAGTGTCAAGGGGTTCCTGGAGTCTCCTTCTGACCCTTTAAACATGGGGGTCATGACCCCCATATTTTGGGAAGCGACGCCATTTTGTTTGGGGTTGTGGAGACTCCAGGTAAACTTTTCTTGCCCCAGCAATTTTAGTGGGCAAGATGGCAAGCACCGAACTTAACTTGGACCCAGGTACTCGCGTGTCAGGAGCTTGAAGGCATTGTACAACACCTTGGTTGCTGCAAGGGCCCCTTTGCAAAAGGTGAGTAACTCACTTCTCTTTGGTTTCAATTCGGAAACTGCCACTAAACCTTCAAAAACCGAAAACACCTATAAGGACCCACAAGCTCAAGTCGACTTCACTCAGAAAACCCAATCGCTAAATGGAAAACCTGTGGATTCAATGGACCCCAAACTTATACGACGTATGAAGATCCGTTCCCAAGCCGGAAATCCTGGGCGTGGCTTTTTGTTGGACCCGTCAACAATGGGCTGCTTCCGCAAAACGTGAGCAACGCACCCCACACCCCCCTCCAGAGAAAATAAAAAATGACCCAAAGGAACGGCTAGTTGGTGTCCCTTGAAAACCCAGCAATTTGCTAATGGCCACGACACGTTGAAGCTGCACGACACCTTGTCCACTGGAAAGTTCGAGGCGAACATGCATCGATCAAAGCCGAACAAATCCTAACGGATCGCAAGGAACCGTGCAACAAGTATTTGGTTTGCTGAAAGAAAACATGACTTAGTAAGACCTCCTGCAAAAAAAACACATATTATTCCCGCAAAACACATATTGTGATTGTTGCTGATTAAAAAAAAAAAAAGATGAAACACCAAAAGGCTCAAGAAGGTACAAAAAGTGACATGCCGCCACGGCTCCAGTGCGGTCTTCACGTAGGGCTCGATGGCGTCTGCCAGCTCCTTGCTGCTGGGCGGCTGCTGCTGCTCATCGAAGCCGAAGCCGAAGACGCGGGAGCCGAAGCCGCTGATCTTCATGTGCACGTTGGGGCAGGCCGCCAGCTTCGCCATGCCTTCCTTCCATTTCGGGAAGACCTCCTGAAGGGTCCAAGTGGGTGCTTGGATTCATTGGAAATTGTCAGGGGTGTTCCTGGTTGCACATGGAGATCAGCCAAAAAACCGGCCAAATGGCGATGAAACATGGAATTTGTTTCTCGGGTGTTCCTGGTTGCAAATGGAGATCAACCCAAAAAACCTCCTGCCGGATCTATCTGGTCTCAATGGGCTTGGACTTTGGGGATTCCTGGTTGCACATGGCGATGAAACAAAGCTGGGCATTTTTGTGGGGTGGTCCTCCAAAGTGATTGGCTGTTGGGGAACTACGGGGTGTTCTCTCAACAACAAATCAAAGAGTTCTGGTTTGCAAACGATCTTACAAGACACTGCGCGGCAAAAAACCGCAGCTAACCCAAAGTTCCGCGTTTGCTGCTGATGCTGACACCATCCTCGAGGGGAAATACATGCAGTGAATTCAGGCTTTGCTTTGTCCATTGGTGTGTTCTTCAACACCAGGGGACACCCAGATTGATTGATTTCCTCTTGGCTTCCATTTCCTTTAATTGGGCTGTCCTCAGATCACCTGCTACAAGCTTGACTTTTAGTGGGTGAAATGAAGATCCCCACTGAACCCTAAAAACCTTACTGAGCCGGACGGTTGAGAACCGCCCAGTTCATAAACCAAAGGCTCCTGCACCTTTCAATGGAAGACCCGACCCCTCCATGAGACACCCCTGAGGTGGTTGGGGGTCTCAAAGCCAGGTTGTTTGAAGGCAACCTTTATCAATCGAATTGGAGCCTCCGGGAAACAAAGAAGAACGCTCCAGTGGCCATGGGAAAAGAACGGGCGCCTTTTTTCTTGGTTGAGTTCAAAGGAATCGGAACCCTTACCCCAAAAACATAGTTGAAAAAAGGGCCACAGAGTAAACCAAGAAGGGCATTCTCCCGAACCCTCCTCGCGCTTGTAGGAGTAAATGCCGAGAGGGTAGCCCAGGTGGTCGCAGATGATCGTGGTTTGCGGGAAGGCTTTGGCCAAATCGGCCAGCGCGTCCATCTGCTCGTGGTACCTTACGCCCAAACCAAAGGCCCAGTGGATCCATTTGCGAAAACCCAGGGGGTCCCAACCGGTACCTCCGGAGGATGCTCTTGGGACTAAAAAGGGGTCCTTCAGTACCTGAGACGATACCAAGGGATTAGTAGAGGTAGGTAAAACCAACTTCCAGTGCTTCCAGTTACCAGCTTTAGGCCAGCCAGGCAACCAGGCAAAGCCATGATGGACCAAGAGGCAAGAATACCTGACTGGAGGAACCGGGCAAGGGAACCACCCTAGATCCAGGAAAATAGCCAAGGGCGAGCTAAATGATGGTACCTGAGACCTGCATATGTCAATGTTGTCGAATTCCTCACTCCCCAAGGGGTTTCCCCAAACCCACCCTCCAACTAGGATGTTGGACAAGATAAAAAGCAGTTGTGAGGGGGGGATGGTGCTGGTAGGATTTTAAGCATTGTCTTTGCGTTTCACTTTAGTTAAAGGCAAAGATGCATGGATCCAAACATCGGCCCAGGTACATCCAGGTGTCAAAGCTGAGGTTGTACTTGGAAAGCAGCGCGAAGCCCTCGCGGAACTTCTCGTTGAAGCCGTCGTCTTTCGCTACGTGGGGGTCCGAGAATAGATTCGGCTCATCGGTGAATGCCAGCGGCCGCCGGATACCTTTCACCAATGGCATCCGCGAGTACCTGGCGGAAAAAACTCCGGAACACCCATGGCCATAGGTGTCCTTTTAGGGGAAATAGATGGGTTTTCAGGTAGATGATGAAACCACCTGGTAAACCAGGGCCATCTATTTTTCTGGCAAAACAACCAAACAAAACACACCTATGCCAACGACACCTATGCCCACAGCTCCTTGGACCATGGAAACAAATCCAGTGCTTTCAGTGTCCACTATAGGTAACCAACGTTTTCCAACCATGATGTAAACCTAGAGGTAGCGATTTCTACCCAAAGGTTTACCTATTTCTTGCTGGTGCTCAGTAGGAAATGAGGGAATGAACCCAGGCCTTGGTCCCCTTAAAGGAAACCAGAATGGATGGTTGCAGGTCGTACTGAGCACCAGCTAGTTTTGGAGCCACTGGCTGTGGGTCAAAAATCGGCTAACCCCAAAATGGGACCTGCGTAAATGGAAACATGGGCTAAAACCCGCAGTCCCCGAGTGGTTCAATCTCCCACACCCACCTCTCCAGGAGCGGCTCCACGTCCTTGCCGAGCTTGAGCTCAGCTCTCGCCACAATTCCCTGGCAAAGCACGGGGTGGTCCTTGTGCACCTGATCGCTGCTGATCGGTCTCTTGGTTGCTGTTGACCCCTCTGCACAAAGTTTAACGGTTTGTGGGTTTAGTGGAAAACCCCTTGATGTTAAAGTCTAAAGAATTAATCCAATAGCGGTCAAGATCTGCGAAAATCACGCGTCACATGAAACGATGAGTGATTGCTTGCCCAGTGGATCCCTTTACCTAGGCCATTTAAAGGTATAGCGAACAAAAACAGAGTGGCTTGGTGCCTACGTTGCTATAGTGGTAACTGGGATCCATTGGGTTAAACATGCCCGCTTGCCCCTTTGACCCCGCAAGTGGAACTAGGCCCAAGTGAGATTCCACTCTACGAGTCGCTATGCGATGCAACCTGGTTTGAACATGTTTAAGCATCTTTCGGACCAAAAGAAAGATAGGCCCAGACTGCTTCCTCTGTAGGATAATGCTACGTGTTTTAAACAACCTGAGTTGAGCATGTTTAACTCACGTCCTGAGCGGATTGGCCAAACAATGCCACGAGATATCGGCTCGGCTAAAAGTGAGCCAAAATGCAGGAACACGGAGAGTGAGTCAAACATGCCTCGAACATCTGTCAGACCTCATGGGAAAATCGCTTCAAATCCCGGGCCATGCACAAGTGCTTCAACGAAACACATATCAGGGCACCGGAGAAACATGTTTAAGTGTGGGTGTCTTATACCTGGCTCTTCCTAAGTCCGATTTGTTCTGCCTTTTCGTGGAAAACTGCTTTTTCAGGAAAGTCGTCATATTTTTGCCTTCAGGCAATTTCCTGATTTCCGTTTTTTTTGGATGTATGCAACAAACTAGCGGAGGCGTTTTTTCCCTGATAAAAAGCGTTTTTTGGCGATACAAAGGCAATTGTTGCCGAACCTTGTTCTATGGCACGCGTCCCACACGCGCTTTTCGAAGGGGAACAATGTTTTTGGATGAAAACGGCTTAAAGTTCTTTAGTTCCGCACAAAAGTGGAAATTCTCCTCTCCAGCCTTTCTAGATATGGAGTTGGTACCCCTTTTTCTGTTGTGTTGAAAGAAACCCCAAAAAAGACGACACCATGCTCCTTTATTATTCTTATATATACATAGGTGTTTATTGTTTGTTATTTGGGGGGCTGCCCCAACAACAGCCACGCCCATGTTGAGTTGTTGCAGGTTTCATGACTAGAGTTGGGCCCAGTTATAGAATGTATATTTCATTCTTTGCTTCACTTTAAGTCACTGGTAAATTGTACACAGATACACACTTGAAACCAGGTTGCCCCCCTTCAAGTCTACCCCAGCTTTGTTCTCTTGGAGTTTGGCCCAACGGTCGCCGGTCTGGTCCTGGACGCAGAAGTCCGCTTCGCCGGCCACCTGCAAACACTCCAGGGGCTCGGTGGTGTCCTGCCAGCCGCACTCGATGTAGACCTCGTCGACTCGGGGACTCGGTGAGCGCCGGTTTGGGGGCATGGAAAAGAAAGACGAGTGGACCGAACCGGGAAACACCACTTAAAGGTGGATCGGCTTTTGGGTCTTATTAAAAAAAAAGAGGAGGACAAGAGACCAGGAAAAAACGCAAGGTCAAAAGCTTGATTCGCTGGCAAAGACGCGGTGCCCGAGATCTTGTGACCATTTTTCTGGCCGATCTTCATATCCCGCATGTAGTCGCGAGCCATGTACCGGCCAGTGAACATGCACTTGTCGCCGAAGTTCGTGAAAACGGCAGCGCCGCTCTTTTTGGCTTCGGCCTGCATGATTTTCCTGGGCTGTCCGTTTTCTGATCCGCTGCGAAGCCGTTGTAACTTTTAGTGCGGTAACTGGAAACCGCACTCAACACTACCTGAAAACTTCAGGAACCGGATGGCTGAAAACCACCAAGCTTCATGAGAACGGCAGGTTTCAGGTAGCCAAGCAGTTTCAGTACCCACGGGTGGACCGGCCAGCCTTTGGGCTGCGTGAAGGGGTCCCAAAGGTGGTGGTGAGGGTCGAACACCACAAGCTCAGGCTCGATCGCCTGGGTCCGATTTTTTTGGGATTTCTCCCTGCCAAACAGAAATGGCTTCAAACATAGGTGTCCTTTCAGGTTGGAAATAGATGGGTTTCCCTGGTAGATAAGAAAAAACCACCTGGTAAACCAGGGCCATCTATCTTTCCCGCAAAACAACCAAAAAGGACACCTATGGCTTCAAAGGTATTCTCCCCCAATGGCATGAAAGGGAAACCAAAAGTGGCAAGTGTCCTTTGGCTTTTCTTTAATTACCCGCCCTCCCTCCAGACAAATAAATACATGGATGAACAACGAACAAAAGAAAAACCAAGTACCCTCCAAAGTCCTTTTGGCTTCTCTTTAATTAACCCCCCCCCCCAGAAAGAAAAGAACAAAAGACAAACAAGTACCCTCCAAAAAACAAACACAGCCGCCTCCTCTTCACCGAGCTGTGTCCATTCCTCCAGGGGATGCGTCTCCGGCTCGCCGCCGAAGAGCGTGCGAGACAGGAAGCGGGAGCACAAGAAGGCGCCTCCCACAACAGCAACGCCGCCGCCAATCTGGAAGCAAGTCATAGCGCCAGCACGCAAAGTTGAAAATCGCCGCCAACCTAAAAAAAAGTGGGCCTTGAAATAAGCATGCCTCTTTGTGAGGGTACCCTTTTTGGGATTGGTTAAAGGGAAACCTTTGGAAACCCCCGATTTATGTAGGCTGTAAATCAAGACACACTCAAATGACCACAAGTGGGCAACATGTGGTGTCCCCACTGGTCCACGTGGGTCATGCCTATGCGTTCGTCCGACCACCAAAATCATCCTCTCGGGCAAAACGGGCGGAGGCGCACCGGTTAAATGCAAGCTGACCTAGGGTCGATCCCAACGTTTGGGTGGCTGTTTTGAGTTGGCGCCGGTTTTGGGCCTGTTTTTTTCTGGGTTGCCCTCAGATCCCCTGCTAAAAGCTTAACTTTTAGCGGGTCGAATGGCAACCCCCACTAAACACTAAAAAACTAAGGGGATGGCTGGGAGCCACCAAGTTGTCTTCAGGGAAGCCAAAGCAATTCGAGCACGACTCCATTTTTGTGGTACTCCTAATTTGAGGCAAACTCATTGTGCTGAACCGGGGCGCTTGAATGCGTCTGTATCTTGGACTCGAAAATCTGCTGTCCGCTGTTCACTTGTGTTGCTGTTGACAATACCATGCCGAAGCATCCAAACAATCCACCCACTATCTTCTGGTGTAACCTCCCTTTGGGTTTCCTATGTCTTCCCTTACAATACCTCATACGGGCCCCCCATAGATCAAGCTTCCCTATTTCCTGTTTCAAGGAAACCATCTTTAAAACTCTGCAACAAGCGATCGGTTTTTGGTTGAAAGGAACATTGGTTAACGAGACTTGTTGAGGAATCAACCCCTAACCCCCCCCCCCCGGAAAAAACTTAGAATCTTCACCACCCAAACCCCGTGGTTTTGGTGCCTCGGTGCCGAACTGCAGCATGCCCTTGCCAGTCTTCGGGTCCTTCAACTTCCATCAGGTGCATTCAAATTTTGGGTACTGGGGTGTGAAGGAGCCTGCCTTGAAAACCTGTGTGGAAACCCAAGGAAACCCGCGGCAAACTGTGGCAACCCGCCTGGAGTCTCCATGACCCTTTTAAAATGGGTCAATGACCAACGATTCTGTTGGGTAATGACCAACCATTTCTTAAGGGTCAGAAGGAGACTCCAGGTACTGGGGTGTGAAGGGCCAAGTTCATGATGTTGACCCCATATTAATCAACCCCCCCCAAGCAGTTTATTCATAGGTGCTGGGGGCCGTTGTTTCTCCACTAAACCCAGGGACACCCCCCCCCCTGTTTGATTTAATATGGGGTCAACACTGTGTCCTTGGCAACCAGGTTATGACCCACTTATAATCACTTATAAGTCTCCGAAGTGGGTTTAACCTTGATATTAGGGGGTTATAATCGAAGTGGCGATCACCACTTGCCAAAACGAACACAGTGCCTCCAGTACCCGATGCACCTGAAACTACCAAATGTGTCCCTCCAATGTTTCTAGGGGTAGCTTCCCCATTCTTTCCAGGGATCCTTGTTTCCAGAAAACCACCAAAAACCCTGGGGAAACAGCTGGTGGTTGAAAAGAACGATGGTTGAAAAGAGTGGAAACGGAATCAACCCCTAGAATGTTGAATCCTTCCAAGGCGTCTTGAAGCAATCAGCGGCTTGATACCTCACTCCCCGAGTTCCGTCACGGACTTCCATCACTCTTTGGGTGACCGTTTTAATGGGACACACACCCCAGTGGATCCAATTGCCTGGTAATTAAAGGTAGCTAACCAAGGGAACCACCCTGTAAACACCCAAAAGGAGAATGGCTGGTTACCTACTCTATGGGCTCGCCTGCTTTGTGTTCGGGCTATATCACTCGATTGTGATTTTACAGGGGCGCCGCTAACTAGTGTCGCAAAGCTCGCACAATGATCATGTGTGGCTTCTTGAAAGCGGACTCACTTTTGGGTGACTTGACACGGAAACCAACGCCAAGCCAGCGAGGCGGCTGTCTCTGCCTTTGTGAGACACAGAGCCTCAAATCGCCCATCGTCTCAGCCTGAGTTCTTCAGGTTCCATCGGATCCCTGGTTTTCTCAACCGAACGATCCCCTCGCACGAATGAGGGTGTGCATTTGGCCCCCAGTGGTTGTGTGGAGAGAGGGAACGCCCGAGTTCCTGGGTTTTATACTTTTAGGTCTCACCATCATTTTGGTGGCTCAAACAAACTGTTTAGGAAACTTGTTCTTTGGCAATCCACGAAAGTGAGTTGTTCAACTTACCCTTTTCCCCTGAGGATTCCCTAACGAGCTCCGTGCAGACCTAGGGATCCAAGTCTCAACCACAATGGTAGGAAGCAAAGTTGTACAGTATGTTCACACATATGGCTGTGGCTCAAAAAACCGGAATTCCAAAATGGGTTGCCCTGGCAAGTGGAAACATGGACCAAAACCTGCGTATCGTTTAATTTTGAGAACCACACCCATATCTTAGTGTTGACCCCACAGTCATCCGGATTCAGGTGGCCTCTCAACGACTGAGTCACAATCAAAACCTGGTACTAAAATGGTGAACCCAGAACCATGTAAAGAATTAGAAAGGCGGCCGCAGCTATTTGTGGCTGGGATCGTCTTTTACTAACCTTAATCTACCCAGGTTTTGATTGTGGCTCAGTTGACTGTTGGGTTCCTGTCAGGCAAACATAAAGCGTCAGCTTTTTTTTCGCCCCCTCTCCATGCTCATTGGGAAAGAGGGGCATTTGGTGTCTGTTGATTTTCAAGGGCAACCCTTCCCTTAAACAAATTTAAATTGCTGGAATCCGCCAGGCAAGGAAACTAAGGGTACCATATGTTTTTCTGTATATAGTCCATTTTAGTAGGGGAACCCTCCCCCAAAAAAGTTGGTCAAAGGGCACTACTGGGGGACCTAGGATATCAAATTCTTTCACCCAAGGGACACAAAAAAAAAACGCTTCCTTCTTGATGATCTGTGCGCGCACGCCGGCGGGGATGAAGACCCAGTCGTCAGGGTCCGCCTCTGGGTAGTAGTGCCTCACCGAAAGAATGACACAGCAGGCAAAAACCCGGGCTGCCCTCAGATCCCTGCTAAAAGTTTAACTTTTGGTGGGTCAAATGGACACCCCCACTAAACACTAAAAGTCTAAATGGCTAAGCGGATGGCTGGGAGCCACCAAGAAACGGCGTGCCAACATCTTGGGGTGTCATGTTTGAGAGTACCCAGAACACCGACTAGGGGTGTCTTGGTTGACCCGCAAATCCGACTAGGTGCCGGCATCTGGGGGTGTCGTTGAGGAGAGAACGGACAAAACCCGACCAGGTGCCGACATCTGGGGGTGTCGTTGAGAGAACCGACAAAACCCGACCAGGTGCCAACATCTGGGGGTGTCGTTGTTGAGAGAACAGACAAAACCCAACTAGGTGCCACCATCTGTGGGCATTCTTTCTTGTACCCTTGCGGCAGTTTACACCCATCAAAACGGACCTATCTTACTTACCCGTGTGGTTTGAACAAACTTGTTGGGTGTCTCAGGATCCAAGTCCAACCGGAGAAATGGTCGGGTCCCTTTCTACCTGGAGTCTCCATGACCCTTTCAAAATGGGTCAATGACCCCATTATTTTAGGTAATGACCACATTGTTCAAGCGTCATGGAGACTCTAGGTAGTGGGAAACCAACTGGAACAGAAAGGTAGACAGCTCTGCCACTGGTTCATACTGCGGATTGTTGCGAAAGCTGTTTATAGCGGAATCATCATTCCAGAGTTTGTAAGGTGGTGCAGGACCCAGTCCCGGTCATTTCTGCAAAGGCCTTAAGATAGTCTTGCTAACCAGCGGGCGTGACTTAAATCCTATGATAACTGGCATGTCAAATCGCTACCAATCAAGCCATGAACCGGGGAACGCACATTGGTAGTGTATGTGAAGACTTCCAACATCTCATGTCAACGTCAACCCTGCACCCGTGGAAAATTGATCAGCCTCGCGGTTGAAAGCAGGAAACCAACCTGCATAAAGAATTCGTGCCTACACTTGGTATGTTGGCAATGCCATGGTCATTTGCAAACAAACCGCACCAAACATGAACAGAGCCAAACAACGAAATCAACTCAACACCACACCACGATCAGTCAATAATACCCAGCAACATTCCTAGTACACATATTGCCGTTCAGAAAGAACCGCCACATCTGCCAAGTCTACCTGTCACTGTACAGTTCCCACTCCCCCCCGAAGATTGACATGGAACCCCCCACAACAGCCTTCCAAAGGAACCTCTTTGGACCCCCCCCTGGCTGCCTATTTCCTAAATTCGGAAGCGCCCAAATTTTCCGCCTTTTTGGCAATGGAAAACAGAAATGAAACGAGGTCCTTGCCCAATTTCAGGACACACCCACTTTGTGTTTTCGGATTTGTCGGGCCTGTTGTTTGGATGTTCATCCTACTTAAGTAAGTTGCACCACAGTCACAACCACCTCTATTGTCCCACTTGTAACCACGGATATAATTGTCTTGCTAAATAGCGAACATATCCAAGTACAGCAAGGTCCTGCATCATTAGAATGGGTCAGAACGGGGTTGGTGGGTACGCCATACGAATTTGAGTCATGCCTACAGTATAGGGTAAACATAGGGTAAACGCATCCTAGACGCTCAAACAAACAATCCTTAAAAATGGACAGTCACCCTATAACTGTGGGGCAATCACACGGCTATGGGTCAAAACCCCGCACCCCCAGTAAACATCCCAATCCAACCACTAAAATAGGTTCTAAAACGGGTGGTGCACCTACCAACCAAAATGGGATCCCATTCATTGGTGTTGACCCACGGCCACATGTGGCTGTGGGTCAAAAATCGGTACCCCAAATAGAACCCTGGTAAGTGGAAACATGGACCAAAACCTGCGGTCCCCCGGTGGTTTAATTTTCACCCATACCCATGTTTATGGGTAGCGTGAGGCTCCAGGTAGCAATTCTTTACATTTGGCTCGCCTGATGTCGTGCAGCTTGCCCATAGAGCTCTTGAAGACGTCCTGGTTTTGAATCGCCCGGCCGCCCGGAAACCCAGTGCTAGTATTCGAGTGCTACCTTCCAACCATTCTGGAACAGGGATCCTTCTTTCTAGAAAACCTCCGGAAACCAAGGGAAACGGCCAGTTTTTGGAAAGAACGATGGCTAAAATAATGGGGAATCAACCCTTAGAACCATGTTAGCTTTTGGCTGGCCCCCACCCAACAACAAAAACGATCATGGCCCCTACTGTGGGTGCCCTTCACTCCAAATCCCATCTGTTTCCTCAAGATTCAATTTCCGGCCTTTTTCTAGGCGTTGTGGTTTCCTAGTAGTTTTGGGCGTGTTGGACGATCTAAATGGTTTCTAGGAGTTTTGGGCTACCCCCGAACCCAAAAACGTCTTTCTCTGATTTGCGGGCGTTTGCGGGCGCTTGCGGCTTTTTGCGGGCGTTTTGCCGGCCATTCCGGGCGGAAAAAAACAAATCTGCAATCTCACGAACATATAGGAGTTTTAGTAGTTTTAGGCGGAAATTCTGGCCGTTTTTAGTGCAGGTCAAATTTGACTCTGAAACCAATACCGGGAGACCCGTAAAGGACCTGCGTAGTGAGCTCCTTTTACCTCGTGCCATAAACTAGGCAGGCCAAATGTCCTTGCCACGTCTGGCTGGACATGTCTCCTAACCAATTGTCCGGACGCTTGGGTTTGGGCTCGAATAAGTGGCTGCGGAGCAACCGGCGCGTAGCCGATTCGACGTGTGACGTTTCAACATAGGGTTGCCCGACTGCAGCATCGAATACGTAGTAAGCAGTCGTTGTAGTGTCCTCCTTTTCGACTCGAGGTGTTGCTATCTCTGGCGAATCTTGTCAAGTACCTAGGTCCTCCGCTAGAGAGGTTTGGATAAGGGTACCCTTTTTTCTGCAGCACTGTAGTCTATTTTAGTAGGGGAACCCTCCCCCAAAAAAGGGCGAGAAAGGGCACCTAGCTGCTGGACCTAGGTACTGTCGGCGAGAAGCCCACCTGGTGGATGAATAGTGGGTGTTCGCCCAGGAACTAGAGGGATCCCCTCTCAAATGGGACCTGCTTTATGCATCTGACACATCCAGCCGAGTCAACAAACAGACAGAGGCCAAAATGGTAAAGCAACAAACAAACAACCTTGCCTTAGATGCTGGGCACTTAGATCAAGGGCGCCCATCTCCATTGGACCAAGGGGGAGCCAAGGAAAAGCCAAGGGAATACCAACGAAACCAAAAGAAAGGGCCAATAGGAAAAACCAAGGGGAAACCAAGGGGACCCCAAGGGGAAGCCATGGGAATATTAAGGGGACGCCTTTGGTTCCATCGTTTCTACTCCGCTTGAGGGCTGCATTGAGGCCATCCAATATCTTCCCACTTCTGCGCGGTCTACCTGCGCTCCATTTTGATATCTATGTCCTCAAGCCGAGAGGTTAGTCCCCCAAAAAAGGTTGGTAAAAGGGCACTACTGGGGAACCTAGATAATCTGCCCGTTTTTGGGACACCCAGCCAGTTGTTTTGCCATTTTGGCAAAAAGGGGTGGATTGGGAGCCAAAAAATGAATGCCCAGGTTTACTGCAACTTTGATATCACGACACCAAACCAGATCAAACTCTGAACTGGCCTTTCCAGGAGAATCTTGCTTCTCTGTGGCAATCCTGGGCTCAAAAGCCAAATATTGAAGACACAGCGGAAACCTGGGAACGACTGCATCACAAGGAAGCTACTCGCATCCTGGCTGACTAAAAAGGGGGTGTCTCCATTCTAGTGGGGGGTTCATCATCGTTTAGGGGTGGCCCATGTTAATAGGAGGGGTTCTACTTAGATCGGCTTTCACATTGCTTGCACCACCATTTGAGTCACACTCAAATCCCAGTACAACCATGGTCGACCCAGAACCATGTAAAGAACTAAGGCGGATATCCACGGCTATTTATCTGGGTGAATTATAATAATTCACCAACCTGAAATAAGGTGGTGGGGGGCTATTCCCCACATACACCACCATTTGGGGTGAGGTCGTGTGAGGTGGTTATGATTCACCCTGATTTATGGCTGGGATTGTCCCTTAACCTTCACTTCCCCGAATCGGTTTTGAGCAAGTGGCTCATTCGGAAGCTCCTGGGTATCTTTGGACCATGGGGCCCAGTCCCCGCCGCCAAAAATGTGCCAGGTCCTTCATGAGCATCACCGCAAGGCTCATGTTGCGGGACCTGAAAATGTCGGGTTCCAAGGTCCGCAGAAAATTACAAAGTTGCTCGTCCGAGTGGTTGAAGGTACCTGGAGTCTCCATGACCCTTTCAAAATTGGTCAATGACCCCATTATTTTAGGTAATGACCCCATTTTTTAAGGGTCATGGAGACTCTAGGTCGAAACAAAATACCCAGCATTGATCCCGTGAAATCCCTGCGGGACTTTCATGAAGCTTTCCATTCGCAAGCTCTGCAAATGATTTGCGCATAGAGCCCTCGCAATTTTGGGTCTTTCAAAGGGTGGGGATACTTGCGCAAATGGGAACTCGGTTTATCTTAAACAAACCCAAGGCTGATCACCCAGCAAGCAACCCATTGAAACCATCCGGAATTCAATATCGGGGACTCGGGTACGGTTGCTAGGGTGCCTATGTAGATAGCCATCTTTGTGGTAGGCCCAACCCCCAGTAAATTGTTGACCATCCACACAACCCCAAACAAGACCTGTGAACTTAGGTTGCGAAACATAGGGCTTCCACGGGAATTTGGACAACCATTGTAAGGGCTTCGGAGAACAAACATGACAATATGACCCAAGTTATTCAAAGGCTGGGCTGCTCACAATCCTTAATCCTCCGCTTGGAGTACTACGAACAGCTCAAGTTCCCGTTTCCAGTGGCCGATCCGGACACTCCTCCATTTTGATCAGCGCTCAAAACGCTCTCGTCTTAAGGCGGGGTTGTCTCCCCTCTCCTGATTGATTGGCCCTCAAAAAGGTAAAGCCTCGATGCCCAGAGCTCCAACAACTCAAGCGGCATGTCAACGTCGGTTTAACGAAAGCACCGATGGCAACTTTTCAGGACAAACCCAAATGGCCAAGGAATGCCTGAACCCACACGTAAGCCAAACAAACAAGCAAGCACTTCTTCGCAGTCGACAGGCTCTGCCCCCTCTTGTTTTTGTGGAAATTTCGGGCCCGTCCCCCTCCCCAAAGCCACATCAGACTATGATAGTGACATTGGCAACCCCAAACACTCACACGGAACCTCCTCATGATTGAACTTTACATCCCAAACAATCCATGTAAGTGGGATATACCAAGGGTATATTGTGTCAGCATGTATTTACCTATGGATGGATTGTATGCATTCCCGAATGTAAACCCGCCGCATGGATATGTGGCTGAATGGTCGTGTCGACCAAATTCGAGAGGGTATTGCCAACGGCGCATATCTTTTCTCTCACTTGGCTTTGGGTCAAGAATAGGTACCTAGAGTCTCCATGACCCTTAAGAAATGGGGTCATTACCTAAAATAATGGGGTCATTGACCCATTTTAAAAGCGTCATGGAGACTCCAGGTACACAACATGGGACCCATGGAAATGGAACTAAGGACTAAACTTCGCAGTCTGGTGGTGTTATTTTGACCCATACCCACGCAAAGGGACCTTCGAACTTCCCAAGTAGCCCCAGTCCTTGAACTCAGGAACTCAGGACCAGGAATGGCAAGGTTCATCCTTTGAGTGGCCAAACACCTGACAAGTCGCCAAGTCGTTTTACAGGGCGTCTGGAACATAACAGGCCAAGCAGGCCCCCCCCAAAAAAAGAGCTCTCGCCTTTTTGCGTAAATTGGCCAGCAAAAGTCCTAAACTGTTGCCCAAGAATTGAGAGTCCAGGAGCTCTGCAAGTGAGCTGGGTGTCTTTTTTAAGGCCGCCCCGAAATGGTGGGGTTTCCTTGTGGTTTAAGACTCACCAAAACGCGGTAATTACTCTCCAAAACAAGCACGAACACTTCCCCTCCCATCAACTAACATAGTGCACAAAGCTCCTTTCCCAGACGAAGGTATCCTTCAGGGGTCCATGCGCTTCCGAATTGATGGGAGGATATGATTTACAAACACGAATCCGCCAGCCGGTGACTCTGAACTTTCTTGGAACAATTTTTGGTTGTCATCGGCACCCAGAAACGACACACCCAAAAGGTAATTGACTGAACCCGCCAAGCATGGTGCGCAGCTTCGCCATGGGTCGTGTGAGAAACCCAAGCGGCCCCAAGCAAGAAACCTCTCTGGGGAGTTAGGCTCGGCTTGGATCGCCGGAATCGCCGGAATCGCCGGAATCGCTGGCATGCCATCAAAGTCCATCAAACAGTTGGAAGCAGGGTGTCGGGGAACCTACTTCCTTCAGTGAACACGAAATCAACTTTCCCCCCTGGGCTCAACATCACAAGACATCCCGCCCAGACGCCCCCGGGCGAATTCGAATGCATCGGTCTGACCACGACCAGTTCGACCACTTCGACGAAGCGGACGAGTCCAATGGGAACGCCAAGAGGCAGGGCGCCCATGGTGGGCAAAATGTTGTGAGGCTTCAGAGCCTTGAAGGCATCCGTCACGGATCCGTACCTGACCAATCGATCCCACAGAACATGACCCGTTTCTTGTTCCAAGCCCAGGCTGACCCCAGGTAGGCTCTGCTTAACTCACTTCCGATTGAGTCAATTGGCCCAAAGCCTGAACATTTCATTTGCCATTGAGCCGCCTCAAAGCGCAAAGTCCAGGAACTTAGGAAGTGACTGAAGTCTACCTTGGGGTAATCAATGGAACCCTGCATCGACCTGGGGAGGGAGGGGAAGGGGGGGGGAAATCACCTAAGCCCCTGAAGGCTAGACTTCTCGTGGGCTGCTAGGACAGCCCCCGGCAAGGCGGGGACGTACTGCCGTGAGGTGGTTGGAGTGTATGCCAGCATGTACGTACCAAGGATTTGTAAATTAGAGCATTGCTGGAAACGATAGAATATCATACTCTTCCCAAAATACAAACTGCTTGTACAACATGAAGCTCTGAAAAATGACAACGAGAAGGCGCCCAATCATAAATCATATAAATGGTCGCTTTGGTGTTGGGGCGTTGGGTACCATATCGAGAAGAACATTTAAACGCAATAATTGATGATTTGTCACAACTTGTCGTCATGCTTGACAAAGAACAACCCGATCAGGAAACTAAGCCATTTATTGTTGCATCAAATTAGTTATTAGGTCATAAAGCCTGCAATACATGATCACTAGGATGTGGAAAGGTAAGCACATGCCTAGATAAACACTTTAGGAACATGACAACACCATGCAAGCATCATATATTTACTTCCCGAGATGTCTGCAACTCTACCCAAGGGACTTTGTCTCACAATGTAGGCATACTGTCATACTTGTGGAACATCTTTCTTTCCGACAAGATTCCAAAATGTCCGATTTCCAAAGATCACTTAGTGGAGTCAACTACCAGCACCACCCAACAACTGCTTTTGTTCCCCATGCCCGAAATCCCAAGTACTGTCCAAAAAGAGTGGTTGAGGGGTGGTACGGATGCCAAACTGAGCTATCAAGCAAGGGACATGTGTTGAACCCTAAAGGGTCCGGCCCAGGTCTCAATGTGCTGGTAGGGGGGGAGAAAGGGGGGAGGGGGAAAACTTCACATACTTGGCGTTCCTTTCTTCCGCGAGGCAGCTTCTGCAGGGAAAGTGTTGGAAGAGCTGCAGTACTTCAAAACTAGCACTTCTTGGTCCTTGGGTGTTCCATGGGGTCTGGGTGTTTCCGTGGGGTTGTCCATGGGCTTTCCATGGGGTTGTTGGCCAAGGTTTCCATGATGGCCCCCTGGTGAAAATCTGAGATTCCCGCAAAATGCACAAAACATGTGGCACCAAGCCAATATTTCCTGCTTAACGCGCAACACTAGGAATTTCAACAACCAATTCTCCCGTTTTTCAGAAGGGCACGCAGGTAACAATACCTGGTTACCTACTAGAGTGGAAACTTGAAGCACTGGGCTTGTTATTAGCGAGTTATAAGCTAGCTGGCCAACGGCTTACTAACTTGGCAAATCGAACATCCAAGTAGGCAAGCCTAAATCATGGAGCCCCGAAGCGTTTTGGGCGTGTAGACCAAATCACTTCTTTCTGATTTCGGTGACTGGCATTTGATTCACACAGGACCTCTGAACTGTATCCAACAACCAACTAAACCAGAGCATCTAATCCCACCCCGCCAGAACGTGCCGCAAAGCTTGACAAACAATGCCCAGACCAATTGGGTGCTGTGCGGATATTTTGAGACGAAAGGAGGGTCGCATTAAAAACCTCATGAAAGTTTCGACTAGGAGCCCAAAAGGGCAGACGTCATTTACATGCAAATGTTTATAATGTCCCCCAACAGACTTGCCAACCACAGTGGTTCCAACTCAAAAATACAAATTGTGTTTGGCCGTCCCCAACCACTTTTGAGGTGGTTCCCACGCACCTGGTCCCAACGCAAAAGTATGGTCCTTCCCAACACCCGGACCCAACACCCGGATTCAATACCTGGGTCCTCCAGTAGAGAGGTAAGAATAAGGGTACCCTTTTTTTCTGTCGTCTACTTTAGCAGGGGAACCCTCCCAACCAAGAAAGAAACGGTGAGAAAGGGCACCAATTGCTGGGGGACCTTCCTAGAGTCTCCATGACCCTTAAAATGGGGTCATTACCTAAAATAATGGGTCATTGACCCATTTTAAAAGGGTCAGAAGGAGACTCCAGGTAGATACCCAATGGTCAGACGCGACAGGAAGCCCACTGGCTCGGTTGAACGGCCGTCGACTCGTCGACCCGCCTCAGGAACTTCATGGTCATGGATCCGAAGGGCCCAAAGAGTAGCACCTCCTGCGCGGGAGACCGCTATAAATGTCAACTAGGGACCCTCCTGGCGGGACATCTTTTAGGTGGGGATTTATGCCAACCACTTTTGAGGGGGATCCCCATTAAAACTCATAGCCAGACAGCTGCCAGGAGGAGGCTCCTCCCCTGCTCCACGAATAAGTGAAGGGACACCACCATTGGGGGCTCCCCCAAAAAGGACACCGCCAAAAAACCCCTTCCCACAACTCTCAACTAAGTCTCCCTCTTCAAGAACGGACAGAAAAGTGCAAGGGAAGAAGTTCATCCCACAAAGGCAGGAAAAAGATAAGCAAATACAACTACATCATGCAGCTTCGACTGGAAAGTCGGCCAGGTGTGTTGATGGGTCGGCATTTTCATTGGAACCCAGGATGACTTGCTGGTTCTCAGGGAATGAAAAATACCAATGACGCCCATAAACCATCCATCCTATGATTTTCCTTTAAGAAAACCCGCGCAACACCCGCACCCGGAAAGTCATTCCCTACCAATCGCACCCTGGCGCAAGATGAAAGCAGCCTGGCGCAAGATGAACACGCACCCCGAAGCACCCACTGGCGCCCCTCCCCTGAGCCCTACTGGCAGGGGAGAGGGTTGGGGAAGGAAGCGAAGCTATGAAGCTATAGATTCTTAGATGGGGGTTCCATTTGAAGCTACCTGGAGTCTGCATTACCCTTAAAACATGGTTGGTCATTACCCAAAATCATGGTTGGTCATTGACCCATTTTTTAAGGGTCAGAAGGAGACTCCAGCTATAGATGGCGGTTGGAGAACATCGTTTCGCGGGTACTCCAGCTTCCCCCAAGCTTTGCTGCCAGTTCTCAAAAAGTAGTAGCTACCCCCTCGGTATGAATCGCTACTGTGGATGGAAACCATGGCTGAAACCATGTCCTTTGGTATTTGCAGGGACATCGTCGTTCGAGGGTTTCTTCGTCCATCCACAGTACCTCTAGGTTTACGTCATGGTTGGCAACCCTTGACAAGCCTACTATAGTGGATCTCAAAGTAACCAAGACTTGGTAACCCAGGTCCTCCAGTGAAGAGGCCAGAATAAGGGTACCCTTTTTTCTGTAGTCTAGTTTAGTAGGGGAACCCTCCCCCAAAAAAGGGTAAAAGGGAACTACTGAGGGACCTAGCCTGGTTTCAACCCAAATACCCGCATTAGACGTCGCCACCAGAAGAAGAAGAAAAGGCCGAGGGCTACTAGAAGTACTCGGCCAAATGCTCACTTCCAGCGAGTGGATTGGCCGCACAAGTGTACCTGTTCAGTCAAGAGATTCCCCCTTCAAACGTTGCCCAACAAATTTGTTCGAGGTCTGAAGAGAAATTGCAGGGACTGCTGCTTGCCGAAAAAAAAAAAGGGTCCCAACCGGTGAAACCTCGAGTTACGTCCGGCTTGGGAAGCCTCACCCCTGCAAGGGCTGACCCCCAACCCGTTGGGCCGGCCAACTCCGGCGGGTTACGCGAGATATGTGGCTTCCTCCTGCACAATAACCCCAGTTCCCAACCACTTGGCATATTTTTATGTTTGTTGTTTATTACTTATTTATTTTACTTAAAAAAAAAAAAAAACAACAACAAAAAAAAGCTTGCCCGATGTTGGCTGCACATCCAAGAAGACACGGCTCCATATTCACCCGGAGGGTTCCTTGGTCCCTGAGGATGGCTTTTGGGTCAACAGGGGTCGTTCAGTACTTTGGTGCCAAGGGACCCGTGTCAGTCAACCTTACAGTTGTTTGCTGTCTCAGGAGACACCAGGCAAGTGCAGTTTGCTCCCGTATCCCTATTAAAGGGTCCATGACCAACCCCACTGATTTCAGGGCGAGGCATAATCAAACCTTATATCAAAATTGTCTACGCAAGACCATGTGCAACAGCGCGGATATCCGCACCCATTTGTGGTCGGCATTGTCCCTTAGCCTTCACTTCCGGTTTTCATGGCTTGGTGAGATTCAAACCACGCCTTGCCGCCGATGGTGCGGTAGTCCAGGTGAGGCATCCTAAGTGCGCGGAGGTGGGGAGGGGTCTTTCTGTGGGTACTGTGGATGGACAACATCCGTTCGCACCCGCCAAATGCACGAAATGAAACCATGAAGTTGAAACCATAACGTTTGTCGGTATCTACAGGGGAATCGAATCATTCCACGGTTTCTTAGGTGGAGGAATTCGTCCAGCTGCAGCATGGTTAAAGGACAAGACTCATTTTGGGGCTCCCCTCTGAGTCAAGCCCACATGGACTGGACACCTTGAAGCCCGAAGCGCCCGGCGCAGATATTGGATTGAGGCCAATCAGCAGAAGGGAAGCGTTTGGGCTGGGGACAAAAGTGCCCAAAATCCGTGAACTCAGGGAGTGAGCAATGAGAGACTTCACCTTCATCTGCTGGGGTCATTATTTTCACTGTTACTGGGGGTTATCAAAGTCAGAAAATGTGGTTGTTTCCCTTTAACCTACCACTTAGGGGGCGACTTTGATCATGGTAAAATCATGAGGCCAGAACTGGGCCACTGGGCTGGGGAAAAAAGTGCCTGAAGTCCATGAACTCAGGGAGTGAGCGATGAGAGCTAGGTCCTCCAGTAGAGAGGTTAGAATAAGGGTACCAACTTTCTTCTGTGGTCCATTTTAGTAGTGGAACCCTCCCAACCAACAAAAAGGCAACGGTATAAAAGTTGGCACCTAGCTGGGGGACCTAGGAGAGACTCCACCTTCACCTGTCCCTCTTCCGTCGGCCGAAATGAGCTACGTTTCTTTAAAGAAAAACAATCCCTCGGTTTTGAAAGGGCATCGATTTCACCCCCTGGCCCCCGCGTCCCGACTCGACACGCCCGTCCGAAGCCGTTTCGCCGAGCTGCGACATGGGCGGCGCCCCGGGGGCACCGGGGGCGTAGACCTTGACGCGGTGCTGGTGTACCACCTGGCGCAAAGTCTCAGGTAGGTGGGTCACCAAATCTGCTGCTTCCTTCTGAAGGTTGTTTCATAAGCAGCGCCTTATACGCCTTCCTGCAAAGCTCCTTACATAAAACGGCCACTGGAAGCCATAGAACCAAACGCTTTTTGTTACAACTTCATGACCCCGTTTTTCAAAAATCAAGCCCCAGTTGACTGAAACCCCCAGTTTAAGAGAAAGTCGCCTCAACCCCGCACCAAAAAAAAGCGTCATGCGCCCACCAACCCCCAGTTTTTACCTACCAACTTCCTACCTCAACGAATCCAACTTCCCCGACCTCGGCGTCCGCGCCTCCGGGTTCTGGCAGATGGCCCAGTCCCCGGTCACGGGCAGCGCCATGTAGCCTCGGAGAAAAAACCCGCCGTTTCTCTTTCTCGGCGCGAAGGACCGGGTTTTGTCGGGTTTTGTTTTCCCCCCCTGCAGGCAAGGGCGGCCAGAAACTGGGCAAGGCCATGGAAGCCAAAGAGGGAAGAGGAAACTATGGCCATGCCTGGTGTGTCAAAAAACACATGTTCCCCGTTTTTTTTTTTTTCCCCCCGTTTTTTTTTTTTTTTTCTCCTTTGTTTTCCGCGCAAAGAACAAATCTAAAAGAACAAACAAAAACAACACAAAAAACACAATCCTGTTTTGTTTCCTCGGTTTTCCCGTTTCTCGGTTTCCCGTTTTTCACGGTTTTCCCGTTTGTTCCCCACTTCATTTTTAGAAAAGGCGCCCCATATGTTTTTTTTGGTCTTGCCTGGTCCCTAGCACTTCCACACCCATAAAACACTGTTAAACTACAGTGTGCTTGGTCCTGTTTCGTCACACATCACATTGCCGCCAACACTTGTTTTCTGTTTGTTTGTTTTTTTCTTTCCGGGGAGGGGGGGGGGGCGCTAGAAAGCCATGGAGGCGTTTTGGGGGTCAAGGCCTTCATAGGGTCCAAGGGGCTCCCACGGTTGAAAGGGAGTTCTCTGGGAAACAACAACAGCAAACCAACATGTCCAGCTAAAAAATGGTTTCTCTGGAAAAACAAATCCGGTAGTGATGGGATCCCTTGAAAAGCCAGAGGGAAACACAAAGCTTAAGCAATGGATGTTCATTGCCCAAAATCAAGGGGTCATGACCCCATTTTGAAAGGGTCATGGCGATTCCAGGTATGGTTATATCGGTCTTGGGGTGATTTGTCCAACCCGAAATGGTTGACCTCAGAATTCGGGAATTCATGTCCACCAACCACTTTTGAAGGGTTTCCTGTCAGCCAAATAGCTTGTGTCAAGGTCTCTTTTGAAGCCTCTCTTGAGGCCCAAATGAGGGGGACTACATGAGATGTTCAGATTCTGTTTCATACTTAGAATGCTGGCGTCATGGATCCCTCCCGTTTGCTCATGTGCAGCTTGTGTTCTGGTAAGATAGATGCCTGCTCTTTTGCTCGATAGTCAACACGAAGACTTCAAATGATTTTGGAGGGGATCCCGACGTTGATTGAGAGGGGCGCAATCCTTTTCAGAGGAGAAACGCATTTCAGAGGGCAACTGACAGTTTTGTAGGGGCATGAGAACCCCCAATAAACAAACCAGGGGGTTGTTGATGCCGGGTTGCCGCTGCAAACCCCACTTCAAATACCCTCTTTGTTGGGGCCTGTTTATCATATTTGTCCACTTCCTTTTTTAGTAGAGGATTGACATGATACCGTGAACAGCGGGTATTTGGGGTGAGTAGGGGCAAGTTGGTGTACGTTGGCACCTGATAAATGGTTCACTTCAAGCTGTGTGTTACATTGTTGGTAGGTTTTGTAAGTGTGCTTGTGATGGCCCACGTACTCAACATTGACCCGTCTACTTGGCATTGACCTGCAAAACGCCTTTCAAGTTCAACTATGCAACCAACACCCGTACGTAGGAACTATATTTATGCAAGTTACAAGTTACTGGTACTGCCCCCAGCTTAAATCAGGGGAATATATTGTTTGGGCACAAATTAAATGCACGTAGCTGAGTCCCTTGAACGTGAGTAGGACCTTAGCACGGTGACTTCCTAGATGCTCAATGCTTGATTTGTGTTTCTCCCCCAACAGCTGACAGCTTCGGGGTATTTGTCTTCGAGTGGTTCGGAGCGGCTTTGGGTTGGGGTTCCAGAAAAGCTTCGGGGGTTGCCTTTGGGAATACTGGCTGTTTTTTTTTTGGGGGGGGGTTTCCCTTTGAACTTTGAAAGGAGACTAAACGGACAACTTTTCCCTCCCCCTGTTCTGACACAGTATGCGCACATTTTGCAAGTGACGCAACACCCAACGGCAAAACGCTGACCAAGCCATAGTATGATATGGGCTGTTCCCAGATCCCCTGCTAAAAGTCATAACTTTGAGTGGCTTAGTGGAAAATGCCAAAAACCAACTAAAACCACTAAAAGTGATAAAACCACTCGCCAACAAAAACACCAACTTGACTAGTTTAGTAAACCAACTGAAACGCCAAACACTTGAGTCAACTTGCCCGCGCGACAGACTTGAGTTTCAGGAGGCCAGATCCAGCCAGTTGTCCTTAACTGCATTGATGGCCTAGGCCAGCAGTCGCAGGTTCAAAGATTCAGCCAAGCGTTGCATGGCTGCGCATTGGTCAATCCTCCTCTGAAGAAGCCGCAGATCTTGGCTCTGTGGTTCCTACGTGAGTTCCCAAATCCTTCGATGGCTATACAGGTTCATAGGGCCTCAGGTCTGAACCTCAGGCGTAATGCCCAAAGGACCTGGAAACAAAGGTTAACCTTTGCGACCTTGATTCAATAGGAGCGAGCGGCAAAACCTAAGACGTTGGGCGATTTCGAGTAGGAAGTTTCGTTTTGGGGCCAAACCAGGAAAACTTTTTTTTTTCTCCCGTCGTCTATTTTAGTAGGGGAACCCTCGCCCAAAAAAAGCGGTAAAAGGGCACCTACTTGGGGGACACAGAAAAGGTCCGAGTACCTGGAGTCTCCATGACCCCTTCAAAATGAGTCAGTGACCCCATTATTTTGGCTACTGACTCCATTCTTTAAGGGTCATGGAGACTCCAGGTAAGAAGTTCTCGTTTTCGGGGCCATCCCCTGGAAAACATCATTCCCCTGTGCATACCCACAAACCATGGATTGCCATTTTTTGAAAAATGGTGCAGGATGTGTTCCATCCACAGTAGGGAAAACCCACCCGGTCCGATCCGGATCGGGCCACGTCGGAGCGCCTCTCTCAAGCCAAGCCGCCGTTCACCTCGGGGATGCCGGCCTTCTGCAGCATCAGCAGCGCCCAGCCTGGAGCTCGACGAGTCGAGCCGACGAGTCGCCGCTTGCGAGGTCCAGCTGTGATATGCAGTGCCCAGAGGCTCGGTCACTGGGTAGCGTTGCTGTCCCAGTAAGAAGAAGAAGAGGAAAAACAAAAAAGAGGGTAGCGTTGCTGCTCCAGTTGGCTGTGGTGGGTACTGCAGAGACCCGCTGTTTTCAAGGATTTTTTTGGGGAAAACCTGGGTTTCCATGAGGAAAATACCGATCCCCTTTCTAGTAGAGGGCCCACATGATACCCTGAAAAAAGTTGGGTGTAGGGGGTACCCAGAGGCTCGGTCACTTGGTAGCGTTAAGATGGCCCAGAAGAAAAAAACAACGAGTTGTTGCTTTTTGTGAAAGCGGGGATTCGTGAGTTACAACTCTAACATTGGGGGTTGGTTGAAAAAAAAAGAATCCCTCACCCAACTCCCCGGAACCGGGACCCTTCCGGACCTTGAAATCCACTCCAATGAGAGGCTTGGCGTTGCCCGGTTCACTCGTTTCCTGGGCGTCTAGGACTCCCACATTGCAGCCTATGACATGAATCATACCCAGGGAACAACTAGTCACGGAGAAATCACGCACTTCATTTACAGATATGTCCAGCAAAAACCTCGACGCGTTGGACGTTGCGGTCTTTCCCAAGTGTGTATTCCAAAGGGTGTGATTGTTAAAGAATCCTTCGATTGGGCATGCTGAGCAAAACAGGGTCACGACAAGTGCGGGGCGTCTCAGAAGGAGTTGGTGGAAGCAACTTAAGTTTTTGGACTTGAGTGACCCGAGTGACTTCGAGTAGGTTCCTTTCAGTGAGACAAACATCATGAGTTCTTTAGAGCCCATTTATTAGGGTCCCCTGACAAGCCCCTTGGTCTCTCCCTTGCCCTCTTCAAACGGAAGAACTGCTTGGTACTGTGAACCTCACAAATTGCATGGCCCTTACTGGCTTCTCAGAATGGAGTTCGGAAGTGAGCCTTTACCACGATTGTTTACCCTATGTGGGCTGCGAAGGGGAAGCGGCCTTCAATAACAAATAATGTTCATTGTCCATGTCAGTGTTCTATGTATTGCTTTCTTGTCATGTCCATGTCTCTATCTGCGACTGCATTTGGCCAAGACGGCATTGATGTCCCACTAGCCATAAAACAACGGCCGCTGTACCAGGCCACAAACTTCAAGTCGACATGTCTTCTGCAGCTCACTGGTTCAAACACTCGGCAACCGGAAGTCACACAGCAGGAAACTGCTGCAAGTGGCGAGTGGGTCAACTTCTCTCCCTGTAGTTGACCACGAGGCCACGCAAATAGCGACGGACACATACTTACAACGTATTTTTCCAAAGTGGTTTATCTCACACTTAAAGGCAGGTTCAACTTGTTCGCACCTGTCACAGGCCACGTCTGCGGCGTGAGAGATTGCCGATACCGACCGCAGGCTCGCTCAAACAGATTGGCCTCAGCAAGTGTTGGGAAGCAAAGTCTTGCTTTTACAGGCGGGCCTGGCTAACCACGTTTAGGGCATAGTTCGTTCTGCATCGCAGAGCTCGCGTGAGACATTTGGAGGAGCAAAAGGGGATCGGCCAAACATGGCCGAAGGGACTTTCCGGTGCCCAGAGCCGGAAACCACTACACCTGTCCTTGAATTGCCGCACGGATCGGCAGCTTGGCCCGTGTTGAGGATCTTTTGTCAGTGACATTCTGCTCAAACCGACTGGCGATTCAGTTCACCCCGCAAGTGCCCTTTCGTGAAACATCCAGCTCCAGCCCCGAACATGATGGAATCAGTGCCATCTCGCAGCGGGTTGCGAATTTCGGAACTCATCAAGTTCATGATCGAGTATTCGACCCCAACGGCAGTCGATGGCCTCACACGAGCGGATGGCAATGTTCGGAATGGATTCGTTTCACCCTGCTTCCTAAAACTCATTCGGCGCGCACTGATTCTCACCTGGCATGATTGAACATCGAATTGCTTTCTCTTTGCCTAGACAGCACGTATGGCGCAGGAAAAGCTTGGGAAGGCAAGAGCTAGAGTCACAAAACATGAAACACGTCACAAAGTTCCTTAATCGAATACTCCGACAGCATTCGACACTACCAGCCGCCATCAAAGGCCTCGCACGAGCTGATTGGCATCACGAGCATTCCTAGAGGCAGGTAGAGTACACTTGTTTTGTCACCTCTGTTGCAAGCATCTGTGCGGGGCCAGCAGCTAGGCCTGCAAATGCTGCCTCACCGGCCACCACACCAGGTAGAAGCAGGGTGCGGGCAAGGCTTGGGCAGGCAGGGAGAGTGAGCCAGGCCCAACGCAAAGGCCGGCCAGGCGAGGGGGCACTGCTAGCAATATGTATGGTGTGCACGTGCAGCTCTGCAACATCTGTGCGGCGCCACTGGGCTTGCAAATGCTGCTTAACCGGCCACCAAACATTTGTAAACTGGGCTGCCCTCAGATCCCCTGCGAAAAGTGTACATTTGAGTGGGTCAAATGGAAACCCCCACTAAACCCTAAAAGCTAAAAAGACACGGAACCGGATGGCTGAGCCACCAAGTAAACTCAAAGGAAACAGGGCTTGGTCTGAGCTGCAGGCCAAGACAGTCAAGGCCAAAGGCAAAGGCAAGGGGCCGCAGGAGAGCACGTGGCAAGTAAGCTGCTGCATTGGGAGTGGTGCCGAAGGTGTGAAATACGCCTCTTGATCAAGTGTTCGGTGACTCGGAATCCGCAAAGGCCTTGCTCGCACAGATTGGCATCATTCGAATCCGCATGAAGTTCAATTTGTTTTTCATATCACATACGGGTCAAAGCTTTGGGAGGAAGGAGCAAAGGAGTGTTGAGGAATCTGCAAAAACATCAAGCTCATTGATGGAGTATTCGACACCAACCGCAGTCCACGGCCTCACATGAGTGGATTGGCTACATTGGGCATGGAGTCGTTTTCACAATGTTTCCTATAGCTCATACGGCGCACACTGATTGTCACCTAACGTCATTGAAAACCGCATTGCTTTCCAGTTGCTCTAGACAGCACGTTTGGCGCAGGAATAGTTTGGGGAGGCAGGGACTAGGAGTCTTGAACAACATGCAAATACACGTCACAAAGCTCCTCGATCGAGTACTCCGACTGTATTCCACACTAGCAACCGCAGGAAAAGGCCTTGCCCGAGCGGATTGGACAAATTGGGAATGGGCATGGCTTCCATGGCTTCCTTTTTGTACCTACAACCTATGCTTAGCGGCACCTCCTTTGCAAACCTCCGTGCGAGGCCTGCAACTGCTGAACGGTTCGGCCACCGGAGCCTCTGTCCGTCGATGGGTGCGAGTGAATTCGAGCTGTGGAAACAGGCAGTCCAAGCATGACTCGAGCTCGACGACTTGAACACTTACCTGGAGTCTCCATGACCCCTTTGAACATGGGTCAATGACCAACCATTGTTTTGGGTCATGAGTCATGACCCACCATTTTTTAAGGGTCGTGGAGACTCCAGGTACTAGCATCCGCCAGTAACATTCTTCTCAGCCCTGTCTAAATTAACATTCAAGCCTTCGGCTCTCTGAGCGCAAGTGAAAGGCATAGATCGTCTTTGCGGAGGTGTGAGCCATACTAGGAGCTGGCTTAGACTTCCCTACGCACTCCATGTGCCGTATCAGTTGAAAAAGAGTGCAGGGTGCGCACATGTTGTCTGGTGCACCAAACACAGTAAAGCCATTGGCCGTGATTTCGCACCCGTCTGACCGTGATTTCGCGGCCATCGACCGTGATTTCAAGGCAATCGACCGTGATTTCACACGATTGTTGGTGATCTCGCCAATGCATTTATACCCTACATGACTTTACGCTACGCAACTTGGGCAACCGCCGCTCCAAAGCTCTAGCCCAAGCTTCTGGACATTCTACACATCTAGCCCTTGCGAGTATGAACAAACCCATTTTCTCGATGCAGCAAGCTGTGCAACATGTTTGGCGACCTGAGCGCGCAGAAACAACCATGATTGGATTGTGTTGCATGCTCTCTGCCAAGAGGGGTGAATGCATTGGGGATTGGCCCTGGCAACTTTGTCTGTGTAAATCTTAAGGGAGATGCATGCGAAATGGCGAAAGCATCCCAAATATCACCATGGAAAATGGAAAAACCCAAATCATGCGAAACAGGTGCACATTCGCAAATGACACAATGAGGGCGAGGGTGCAACATGAAGGTCAATCATGCTTTCCGAGAATGGAAGGTCAGGGACGAGGTAGGACGCAGGGTTCGGGCAAAGCTTGCAAGGAAAGTCAGCTAGGCCCGAGGCAACGCCTGGCGTGAGAGGGCAAAGCTCACCGATCAAGTCCAAGTCTTCGATGCCCACCGCGAAGGGCTCATCAATATCCGAGCGGGCTGGCGGTATCCGGAAAAATGTAATTTCACATTTCTTATAGCACATACGGCGCGCACCCACCGCAAAGCTTGCAAATGCCGCCTAGCTGACAACCCAACTTGATAGGAACCGTGTGTCCGGCTGAAGAGAATTCAGGAGGTGGTTCTACAGTGACGGGCAGTGACAACGCTTGATCGCCTGCTCAAACTGACGGTTGGTTCCACTCCTTGGCTGCGTCATATCGTTCAAATATGCGACCACGAACAGCTGAATCAGCGCCACCTCGCAAACAAATCAGTGGCCGAAGCGTTGCGAATGTGAGGAAACATCATCAAGCTCATGGTCGAGTATTCATCCGCAGTCACCGTCCATGAGAAAAATTGGGAAATGAAATCGTGTTCACATGGATTCCTGTAGCACATTTCTCGTCCCCTGCAAATGCTACTTAACCGGCCGCCAACGATGGAAAAACACGAGGTAGGAAGCAGGGTGCGGGCAAGGCTTGGGCAGGCAGGGAAAATGAGCTGGGTTCAACGCAAAAGCCGGCTGGGCGAGAAGGCACTGATAGCAACATGTATGGTGCGCACGTGCTCTGCATACATCTGTGCGGCACCATTGGCAATGCTTGCAAATGCTGCTTT